ATACATTCATAGGATGCGATAAAACACCTGTGTTCCCACAAGCGTTAAAAATTCAGAAATTGAATGAAGGAATGATGCACAATGTTGTGTAACCCCTGCTTGTTTACATACATGAATCACAAATGGACGGCATCTTCAAACCCCGACATATTCACTGTGGGGTGCTACACAATGTTTGAGAACAATTACAAAGTATGGCCTCAAAAGAGATGTTCCCAGAAGCCCTTTGCCCTGGTAGTTAATCTGTGTCACTTTACAAGGCTGTCAGGGTGTCTCCGGTAGCAGATAAAAGAAGGATTGAGGCAGATCTTGTGTCAAGTCATCAGCAATATAATAATAATCATAATCATAGCAGACTGAGACATTCAGGGACAATATAAGGACAACTTCTGAACAGTCACTTAACACCAATTTAGATTCTGACTTCCCAAACCATTCAGATCGTCAGTAAGGATTTTGTGGTACAGTAAGGCCAGAAAAGTGATATACAAATAGTAGACCAGTAGCAAATATGGATGTATATAGAGAACTGGATACAGCGTTGGAGGCGGGAGTCTCGTTAAATCTTTTGAGAGTTGCTAAGTTGCGAATATAGCCAAAAATGGGGAATCTATAGGTTCAGTTTTTTCAGTGGGGGCACTTGAGTTTGCATTAAGCCCCGCCTCCCATATATAAGCCCCACCTCTCATGTTATAACCCCGCCTCCTGATCTTAAGCCCCGCCTCCATCTCCCACTGTTGGCTCAGTCCAATGAATGGAGACCCTAATAATTTAAATAAGTGCTATAAAAGTGTTCATGCTGGGGGTTTCTAAGTCAATAAGAAACAAGTAGTTTGAGCCCAATGGCATCCCGAACTAGAACTGAAGTTGTAGTACCATCGTTTGGCCACTACACAAATCCGCTTCAATGGCCGATGCTCTTCCTGGGGTCTTGGTAGCGAGTAGATTCACATGATTTAGCGTTTATAAAACAACAAACAAAGATCCTTTAACACTGATCACACGGCGGATTTAACACTTTTCAGGTGTAGATGTCTTGTGAGGCTTCTTGATTCTGCTCCTCATGTCCCAGCAGGTTTACAAAGCTGCTGTGAGATGTGAATAAAAAACTGCCGTCAACGATTTGTGGAACAAGGCAGCAAAAACCCCACGGAGAGCGAAGAGTAATGTGGAACGTCCTCTGACTTCCTAAACTTTGCATAAGACGAGGAATGTCCACGACACTGGCAGCTTTCAGGGCGATTAACGGCAGTCGTTTTGATCCAGGTAAAAAGGGGACATGCAAGACTATAACTGATCCAGACTGACTGTACATAAGCTTATCTAACCTTCTGCGATAAGGAGAGAGGAGGAAAACATACGCTGAAAGGATGTGTCAGTCTTTGTACAATAAATTAGGACAGGGGTGTCCAAACTTTTTTTGAATTGACCATTTTGAATCGGCCCTCACGCTTGTCTTATATTGTACTTCTTAAATATATATGTTCAAATATTACACAGTATTCGTGAGTTAATAAGCCCAACTTTCAAATCAATTCAGTCCATTCAAGTTGAAAACATGTTCTAACAAATCTAAGTTGATAAGAAAAAAGCCCAATAACAAATTGACATAACAAGCGTGAAATACACCCTTCATATTTCCTCTTATAGAAACTGAAGCTTCTGTTTTAAGGAATGAGCTGCTGGCAAAATAACTGAAACCCTCTGGAGAGCTGAGATGTAGGCTGTTTGTTTCTTAAAGCATTTCAAGTGTCAAGCTTCATGTACCTACATTTGATTGATTTTTCCAACTTATAACAGAACTTATGAGGCAGTATACCTCTAGTGAGCAGCCGAGACCTTCGTATATTTTTATGTATGTGGCCCTCGGGGAAATAAGTTTGGACACCCCTGAATTAGGACAATCACAGAGCGATGAAACGGAAAGACAGGGCATGCTTCCACTCACACAACCCTCACTTATAAGAGATGAACATTCCCACTGTGCTCCTGTTTCTGTTAGAGAGATTTCAGCTTCAGATTACTGAGCGAACTGTCCGGCTGTTTCGTGGAAAGCGGTGGACTTTGATGTGTTTTGAGAGATGGTCACTGCGAGCGAATCTCTTCTCACAAACCGTACACTGGTAGGGCTTCACACCTGAGTGGGAACGCCGGTGTCTGGACAGCTCGTCTGACCGGGAGAACCTGGAGAAAAAGAAGCAATGTTTTATAATCGGCAAAAACAAAGAGATGGCAAAAGTACACACATCCTTTACTCAAGTAGAAGTACAGATACTCATGTTTAAAAATATTCTGGTGAAAGTAGAAGCACTGACTAAACTTCTTTACTCAAGTCAAAGTAAAGAGGCTTTGAAATGTACTTAAGTAAAAAGTACCCATAACTAGCAGCTGTTTTAAAGAGTACCTGACCTCCCTTTATATTAATAGAACAATAATGTCATTGTTAGCTAATGAATGTTTCCATGCTGAACAACGGCAACATGACAACGTTTCCATTGGTCCCTCTTCTTTAGAGAAGACCAGGAAATGATGGATACACGGATCGTGTTCAAATCAATAGGCACGCAATGACTCTAAATAATAATGATCACGCCACCAAACACACATTCAGACTAAAGAAACCAGACTGTTTGGAAAATGTGAGAAGTAGAAAGTACAGGTATTTGTGTTCAACATGTAAGAAGTAGAAAGTACAGGTATTTGTGTTCAACATGTAAGAAGTAGAAAGTACAGGTATTTGAGTTCAACATGTAAGAAGTAGAAAGTACAGGTATTTGAGTTCAACATGTAAGAAGTAGAAAGTACAGGTATTTGGTTCAACATGTAAGAAGTAGAAAGTACAGGTATTTGAGTTCAAATATGTGAGAAGTAGAAAGTACAGGTATTTGAGTTCAACATGTAAGAAGTAGAAAGTAC